AAAAAAAAAAAAAAAAAAAGTATTGGGTTTGTGTACACTTGACAGCATGACAATCATATGACCTCAGTAGACAAGGCTTTAGGTAAACCTGTGCGAGTATAAATATGGATGCTAACATTTCTGAGCAGTTTTAAAGGTTGACAATCTTATAAATATCCAATAAATCTCCGAAGTACACTAATATAATTATATGACCTTAAAAAATAGCGCTCCCCCCATTTATGTGCTTCTAAGCGGTTAATACGGACATCAGATGATATCAATCAGGTATCCCTCCAGCTTCCCTGTTATCTTGGCTTCTTCCTGCTCACATATAGGCTGATTTAGGGGTACTTCGCTAATCTGTATCTCTTCTCATGCTGGGCAGAACTTCTGTTTTGCAGCAGACTGCTTTGTCTCTGGAATGGATACATGGTGTCTGTGTAGGTTTGTAACCTGAGCCAGCACTACAGGAGGTGGCACTCAGCTGCAAAGGGAAATTCTCCCCAAGCATGAGAAGACATGAGGGTTTAAAAAGAAGAGCAGCAAAGAGAAGGGAAACAACCATGGATTACAGTAAGGCACACATTACAGTATTGGTTTATGTTAAAAAATCTGAGGGTTTAATGTCACTTTAAACAAACCAAGCATACACAAAGTTAGGAATAGTAAAAAATAGTGAGGGAATGCTTTTATGTTCTTGAAACTTTTAAAAAGAATAAACCTATTTTTTTTAAAATATAAATAAATTAAACTGTGCCCCATCATGGAAGAAATATGGAAGCGGTCATTGTTGACTTCCTAAAAATATGTCAGTTGCCTGGAACATCATGCAACAAGGAATGAAAAGAAAAAAAAGTCAGAAAAGTAAGAATTCTTTCTCCTGTACTTGTTTCTGGTCAACATATTCAAGTTAAAAAAAAAAAAAAAGCGCATGAAAGCCCAGCAACTAGGGATGCACCGACACCGGTATCGAGTACCTTTTTGTTTTTTTACTGGTACTCGCCAATACCGAAAGTCCCATTAAATTAGCCAGATCGCGTCTAATGCCTCGCCACCTGGCTTCCTGATTAGCCGGGAATCATGTAAAGACTCACCGGCTTCAGCAGGGAAGCAGTCTCCATGCTCCCTTGTCACCAGGTGGCGAGGAAGCATGAAGCCGGCTTTCTGGCCAATCAGGAAGCCAGGCACCGTGTAATGACTCGTTGCCTGGCTTCCCGATACCGAAATCTCAGGTATTAGGCTAGGCATTGGAGTACCAGCATCGGCACCGGTACTGGTATCGGTACATCCCTACCAGCAACGATTAGTTCAAGATGGCGAGGTCAATAATTGCTGCCTGGACATGTTTCTTTTTAAACTCTACAATTCTTGCTGCCTGGCAATATGGTAAACAGGTAGGAAGGCTGTGCAGGATTTCCATGTACACCGTAAGCAGCCTGGAAGTGCGTGAGCATTGAAAATTTTAAACTGACAGGGAGTCAGGTCAGGGGACACAGGCCAACAATGGCAGCATAAAACAATTAAACATAAAATGTACATAAAAATGTATTGTTTATCTTGCACAGACATTGGTGTGGTATTTTATCAAGACTGGAGCAGACAAAATCTGGAGCAGATTTGCACTGCAATCAGATTCTCTCTCTCATTTTCAAATCTCAACTGAGCAAACTGAAGAGAGATGCTGATTGGTTGCCATGGGCAACTGCTCCAGTTTTGATAAATTCCCCCCCCCCCCAATGACTTTACATACACTGTATGGTGTGCTTGCCACATGGCTAGAAAGGGAAATCACACACAAAAAAACGTTTAGTGATAGTCATCCTTTAAAAGGTGCATGCGCCGGGGCTGTTTTCCTGATCCTAGCTTAGCTACTTAGCAAGCCACTGTTCTGGCACAAGAATGCAGCCAGAAGTCATGTTCCAGGTCCATGACTCATGAGCTAGTGAAGTCAATATCAAGATGACAACTCTGGAGTCTGTACCTTTAAAAGCATGCCAGCAAAAGCAGCTTCCCGATTTCGATCCGCCTAGATTCACTTTAACATGACTCATTTGGGGTTATTTGGCTAACAGTGAGTAATCATCAAATGGAGGCACCATACTACTCACAGATGTGTGGCGGTTCAGAAGAATCAGCTGGTCCATCCTCTGATGCACCAGACTCTGCCATTGGTGGTGTACCAACCTGCAAAAAATAATGGCATCAGTAAAACAGAATATAACTGTTAACAATTCATACAGATGTAAAACTCCAAACATGGATGATCTCATGTACAAAACCAATATCTACAAGAAGAGTAAAAGCCTAACTGGTTATCAGAAACGAATGTTACCGAAACAGCATCTGGAAAAAGGTACTAAAAACATGCAGCACCACAATGTAAGGGAATTAAAACCAGGAGAGATTTTGGCTTGGATTTTTGGACAAGACAACAGAAGGAACTTTCTTATAGAGAGTTTGCTTTTCGAAGGCTCCACCTTCCCACATTGCTGAGCAGTATTATCCTTATTCACCAGAAAAATACTGCTTGCTTTCTTCAGCAATTCTGGGCATGCTTGGTAGCCCAGGCAATGGCAAACATGCTCAGCAGTGCAGAATAGGTCCTTCTAAATATTTTCCAGGAAAACATTTATAAACATGCACAAATAGGAGCATTTATACTGAAGTGTTGTGCATCTAGGAAAGGAATTCCTTCTCTACTACAGAAGATCAACAACGTAATGAGCAAACTTCTGACCTTGGTAAATCAGGTCTTTACAGTAGGGTCAGATAGGAGCTTTAACAAACACTCCTTACAGAAACTTTCACTAGCACTTCTAAGAGTGGTACTCTCAGAAAGATATACACCACAATTGCTTCTCAGATACCATGGCATGACCACATGCAAAAGGTAATTGCTGATCTTCAAGGCAGTCCTATCCTCTGTACAGTGCCAGTTCACCTAGCACTGCACACACTATATACATACGGGGGGGAATTTATCAAAACTGGAGCAGACAAAATCTGGAGCAGTTGCCTATGGCAACCAATCAGCTTCCCTCTTCAGTTAAGATTTGAAGATGAAAGAGATGCTGACTGGTTGCCATGCACAGCTGCTCCAGATGTGGTCTTCTCCCACTGTGATAAATTCCCCTCACTGTATATTAAGAAGGAAACTTGCACTGCACCTGTGTAACACTCAAACACAGGGACCACATATTTTAAGCTTACCTCTTGTGGTTGGCCTTCCTCCATTATACGATTAGTTCCAGCAGATAAAAACCTTGAACAATAGAAAAAAAAAAAATGTTAGTGGAATCCCACTTGAAGAGCGCAAAATGTGTATACACATTAAATATATTAACCTATTGCTAACAGTTCCAGTGTTCAAAGCTACTCTCGATTTCCACCATGCTGACTTTCTACGGTACTGTGAACAGCCTGTGTAATCCAATTGCCTGTTATTCTGGTCTTTTCACAATGAAGCCAAATGATACAGAGGAGGGACACTTCCCCCCCTTCTCTCCGCTACCTCATATAGACCTCAATTGATTTTCAGTAAGAAGCCAAAAAAAAAGTAAGCAGTTTTGGGCATTTGTATTACAAAAAAATACAGTAATTTTACTCAAATATAATGTTATAGACGAACCCATATTTAAAAAAAATATATTTTATATTAAGTCCAACGCTGAACCCCCCCCCCCCCCCCCATAGTGAAGTCAATATCAAGATGACAACTCTGGAGTCTGTACCTTTAAAAGCATGCCAGCAAAAGCAGCTTCCCGATTTCGATCCGCCTAGATTCACTTTAACATGACTCATTTGGGGTTATTTGGCTAACAGTGAGTAATCATCAAATGGAGGCACCATACTACTCACAGATGTGTGGCGGTTCAGAAGAATCAGCTGGTCCATCCTCTGATGCACCAGACTCTGCCATTGGTGGTGTACCAACCTGCAAAAAATAATGGCATCAGTAAAACAGAATATAACTGTTAACAATTCATACAGATGTAAAACTCCAAACATGGATGATCTCATGTACAAAACCAATATCTACAAGAAGAGTAAAAGCCTAACTGGTTATCAGAAACGAATGTTACCGAAACAGCATCTGGAAAAAGGTACTAAAAACATGCAGCACCACAATGTAAGGGAATTAAAACCAGGAGAGATTTTGGCTTGGATTTTTGGACAAGACAACAGAAGGAACTTTCTTATAGAGAGTTTGCTTTTCGAAGGCTCCACCTTCCCACATTGCTGAGCAGTATTATCCTTATTCACCAGAAAAATACTGCTTGCTTTCTTCAGCAATTCTGGGCATGCTTGGTAGCCCAGGCAATGGCAAACATGCTCAGCAGTGCAGAATAGGTCCTTCTAAATATTTTCCAGGAAAACATTTATAAACATGCACAAATAGGAGCATTTATACTGAAGTGTTGTGCATCTAGGAAAGGAATTCCTTCTCTACTACAGAAGATCAACAACGTAATGAGCAAACTTCTGACCTTGGTAAATCAGGTCTTTACAGTAGGGTCAGATAGGAGCTTTAACAAACACTCCTTACAGAAACTTTCACTAGCACTTCTAAGAGTGGTACTCTCAGAAAGATATACACCACAATTGCTTCTCAGATACCATGGCATGACCACATGCAAAAGGTAATTGCTGATCTTCAAGGCAGTCCTATCCTCTGTACAGTGCCAGTTCACCTAGCACTGCACACACTATATACATACGGGGGGGAATTTATCAAAACTGGAGCAGACAAAATCTGGAGCAGTTGCCTATGGCAACCAATCAGCTTCCCTCTTCAGTTAAGATTTGAAGATGAAAGAGATGCTGACTGGTTGCCATGCACAGCTGCTCCAGATGTGGTCTTCTCCCACTGTGATAAATTCCCCTCACTGTATATTAAGAAGGAAACTTGCACTGCACCTGTGTAACACTCAAACACAGGGACCACATATTTTAAGCTTACCTCTTGTGGTTGGCCTTCCTCCATTATACGATTAGTTCCAGCAGATAAAAACCTTGAACAATAGAAAAAAAAAAAATGTTAGTGGAATCCCACTTGAAGAGCGCAAAATGTGTATACACATTAAATATATTAACCTATTGCTAACAGTTCCAGTGTTCAAAGCTACTCTCGATTTCCACCATGCTGACTTTCTACGGTACTGTGAACAGCCTGTGTAATCCAATTGCCTGTTATTCTGGTCTTTTCACAATGAAGCCAAATGATACAGAGGAGGGACACTTCCCCCCCTTCTCTCCGCTACCTCATATAGACCTCAATTGATTTTCAGTAAGAAGCCAAAAAAAAAGTAAGCAGTTTTGGGCATTTGTATTACAAAAAAATACAGTAATTTTACTCAAATATAATGTTATAGACGAACCCATATTTAAAAAAAATATATTTTATATTAAGTCCAACGCTGAACCCC